GAAGGTGTCAAGCCCAGAAAAGGCGAGAAGAGCCATGTATACCATGCCCTCCACACGAACTCTGCGCTGGCCTGTCGGAGATGTTGGAGGTTCATGGCATGGCCCATTAAAGCCCATCCCCTCGCCAATTCTGAAAGGTGGGAAAAACCCTTCTACCAGGCCCCTCACAGGAACTCTGCGCAGGCCCAGGAGACGTTGGAGGCTCGTGGCATGGCCTGTGACACTATCCATGGATATAACAACTCATAACTTCTTTGAGTGTGGGGGCTCCCCTCCTTCACCCCCAGCAGACCAAGGCCTCCACTTCAACTGACAGACATGGAAGCTGCAACTACCAAGTTTCATCGCTGGACCCCGTGGGCGGTGACTATAGACATCTTTCCACTCTCAGCTTTTCTTTCCCTTACCCTTATCCTGTCTTTCCATTCTCTCCCTTATGTATTTTCCCTAAAGGTTATCTTTATGCCATATTGCCATAGATGAAAAATACAGATGATAACACCCAAAATGCCAACATACCTGTTTACCTTTGAAACAAAATTGTTCTAAAATAAACCCTACATATATGTTTTCAAACACCAATTATTCAGTGTTGTTTCACTCTAATCCACCCCAAGAGATTTATTAATAAGAACCTGGTTTACCCCCCCCGCCCTTTTCTGGGGCGGGTCGTAACAGTTGTTTTCCAAGAAATTATTTTCTTACAGTGTATTTTCCAATGTAATGTTTATTGCAAAGCATGTCACTACATTTTCCTTCTGTATAACTAAAGCAGCACAAGCAACAGCATTTGTCAAGCCAATATGAAGAAAGAGACTCTGAGATTTCTGAAGATGTCTGGTAACTACCTATATTTTAATTACTTTTCCAAATTTTATAGCTGCCCCTGTCTGACTTCACCAATGAAGCAGTTGGGAAGAGAACAATCCAAGTTTTGAGAACTTGTATTTATTATATATTTTTGACTTGACTATTCCAGACTCCTGCAAAGAACCTTCAAGAAGCTTATGTGACATTACCAATTAGGTAGATCAGCTCCCTGACTTTAATCTCTAAAAAGCATATATATTAGGTACTGCTGTTCTGCTTTGCCCCCTTAAAAAAAAAAAATATTAGCAAAAACTGCGCTTGTTAAGGGAAAGTTTACATAAAAGGAATATGTCACTTTTTTATCTATGAGGGAGAATACAATACAACTAAAATCAGCTTATTTGGCACACAAAACTTCCAGCCAGTCTAAAAAGGAAGTTCTTGCTGCAGAAAACAACATTCTCATTGTATACTAGAGAACTGAAAACTGCCACAAGTTGCCAGAATATTTACAGGCATGAGGTAGACTATAACAAAGTATCACAAAACACAGCAACTAAGCCACAGGAGGCAAGTGTTCTTGTTTGCATACTTCAACATCTTCTTACAGCTCTAAGAAATACCATGGTGTAGTGAGTTTAGTTCGATCTCTTCCCTGCTTCTCTTGACCATCAAATGCACGAACAAAATCGAAGCACGTCCACGACTATCCCCCCTCACTCCCAAAGTTGTGAGCTCATCTCCCAGGCTTTCCCAGAAATTCCAGAATATCATTTCCTTGTACATGCTGTATGTTGATGAGAGTGGAACAGACTGGAAGGACATATGTAGCTGAACACTAATGTAGCTGAACACACACAACCACTATACGGCTTCCAGAACCCCACTGCTCTGTTCTGGTCAATACAAGAAAATTAAATCTATGCAAACATTTCAAGCACCCAGATTCTTTGATCCCACAGGAAAACTCTTTAAAAAAAATCCCATTCTGGTTCAAGGAAACTCAAATGGTTTCCAACTCATCAGCTACAGCACATGCACATGGCTTTTGTATTGCTTAGCTGGTGACATTTCTGTACTCTAAACTATCACTTTCCGGAAAATGTGTGGCAAATAACACAAATTCCTTCACAATTCCTACGTTAGTTTAGAAGCCAGCTGTTGACAATTTTTTGGGTGTCATTTGTGCATCAGTAAGAATTCATCAGTTATCAAAGGCTGCTATGTGTTGCAACAGAAGCCTCCTATTGTTCAATGCTAAATTCTATCCTATCCTGTACAATAATTTGTTTAAAAACACCGCTCTTCAGTTTAGCATTCACTACTCACTCTGCATCGAAAAATAATTAATGTAAGTAGGGATCGAAGCATATTTTGAAAAAACACGATGGGTAACTGGCATAGCATGACTTCCAAATCAGCTGATTCACTATTCCATACTCACAGGCACTAAAATTCAAACTTTTGGGGTCACTGGAATGCAACAGGAAGGTAAACTAAAGGTGAATGTTAATTGAGATTGGTGATGTGATAGGATACCATGTATGGAGTATCAAAGATCCCACTTAGGATTTCTTTTCCTGTCTAAGGAAACTTTCCTTCTCAGTAGTTCCCAAGAAAGTTTCAAGAAAAAAAAAACAAATGGGTAGGGGAGCATTAACTGTTTTCTTCCAAACATACAATAAAAGCCCTGTACTGTAAGCTCTTGACAAAGGCTGCTGGCCTGCTGCAAAACTTTATAGGGCATGGATTACTGCCATCTTTTTACAGGCATTAATCAAAAACTACTGTCATGCAAACTACCCCACAGTGAAGATAATTAAATCCCAAACCTTTCTAGGTGCAAAGTGAACTTGTCAAAGTACATCAAAATTCCTTTATTGTAATCTGACAAAACCCAGACTTTTATGACAAAACTTAAGTTGGAAAACAACTGTTATGACCCGCCCCAGTGTATTGTAATATACTCTGAAAATTACAAAACACAGTAAAACACCTAAGCTGAGTATCCTTTCAAAAGATACTCATTTACCTCACTGCACCACTGTTAAGAGTCTTCATATTAAGACTACATGAAACTATCTAAATCTTTTCATTACCAACCCTGACACAAAAAAAATTAAATCTCAAATGGCTTTTCTCTGATGCAACAAGAAAAAAACTAAGTGCTGAAGTGCTAAAAGTTTCTAAAGATTCTCTTAAAGCTCTCGATGGACATGGTAGCAAAAATTCTATAACTTAAGCACACTAAAAGGCTGATCCCGAGGCATAAGGTATGTGCTACGTGTGCAAAGATGGTAGGCAATATACTACAGAAAAACTAATAAAAACTTATTCTCCTTATAAGTAACTCTTCAGTTAACAGATGTTTATCCCCCTCAAATTTTTTTGGCCCTTATTATAGCAAAAGGAGTAAATTGGAAGCACGTAAGGAATTATTCAGAAATAAGTGCCCAAAGGGGTTCTTATCTTAAAGGTCTCTCGCCTGCCTGTTTATCTGTGTTTTTCTGGTTTGCTTCCAAATTTCATCAAAGCCAAGTAAACAAGTGGCATATAACTATCTAGGTCTCCCCACAGTGCAAAGTTTAACTTAAATCTACAGTACCAAACATACTTAATAAATATTTAATAAAAGTTACCTGATGTGAGATTAAATTAGCTGTCAAGGCAAACTGCCAGCATCACCATCGCCCTTTCACAAATATATATATGAAGCGAACAATAACTTACTAATGCTCAGGTTCCCTTTTTTTTAAAGCAGAAGCTCCCTCTGAGGAACACACAGTACGCAAAAGCTTATTTTTATTGTAGGCGTATCACCCTCTTCCTTGCTTTGCTTACCAAAGAGCCAAAGTACTTTAACCAGCACTTCTCACCTTGGCACAACAAACCCTGGAGGCGCAGCCTAAATTCTTTCGGCCTTAGCTTTTCCCGTCTCTCTGGGGCCTGGCGCAGGAAAAGGGCGAACGTCACTTACGGCAGGAGTTTGGGAGCGATGCTCAAACACAGCACAGCTCCGGGGAGCCCCTTTCCCGGCGGCGCCAGGATCCCAAGGAAAAGGCTCTGGGGGGAGAAATGCGCTTTTCGCCACCACCCCGGAGGGGGAACCCCGGCCTGGCACCGCGCCCCGCACGCCGCGACGGCTCCGGGGGCCGCTCCGGCCCCTCCGCCCGCCCCCTCCCGCCTGGAGCGGGGCGAGGCCCGCTGCCCTCTGCGGCGGCTCCCCGAGGGGCTGCCCCGGCCCGCGGGGTGTCTCGGCCCTCACCGCTGGTGCCGCTCCCTCCGCGCTCGCAGGGCCGCGCTGAAGGCCCAGCTGCCTCCGAGCGCTTCCGCTCGGGCACGCGCCGCTTCCGGCCCCGCCCCCACCGCGCTCCCGGCATGCCGCGCGAGCAGAGCGGTGCATGCTGGGGCGCGCAGTTCTAGGAGGGGGCAGGGGTCGGCCCGCCATGGCAGGGCTTGGGAGTGCTGTTCGACAGCGGCTGAACGTGAGCTGGCCTGTGCCCAGGCGGCCGGGAATACCAGTGACATTCTGGCCTGTATCACTAATAGTGTGTCCACCAGGCCCAGGGCAGTGACAGTCCACTGTACTCGGCATGGGTGAGGCCACACTTCGAGTGCTGTGTCCTGTTCTGGGCCCCTCATTTCACAAGACATTGTGTTGCTGGAGCGAGTCCAGAGAAGGACAACGAAGCTGGTGAAGGGTCTGGAGCACAAGTCTTATGAGGAGCGGCTCAGGTAGTTTAGCCTGGAGAAAAGGAGGCTTGGGGGTGGCCTTGTCTCTCTCTACAGCTACCTGAAAGGATGCTGTAGCCAAGTGGGAATTGGTCCCTTCTCCCCAGTCACAAGCAATAGGACAATAAGAAACAACCTCAAGTTGCACCACGGGAGGATTAGATTGGATATTAGGAAAAATTTCTCCAGAGAAAGGGTGATTAGACGTTGGAAGGGGCTGTCCAGGGAGGTCCCTGGAAGTGTTTAAGAAGAGACTGGATGTGGCACTTAGTGCTATGGTCTAATAGACAGGGCGGTGTTTGGTCATAGGTTCGATTAGATCTCAGAGGTCTTTTCCAACCTGAGTGATCCTGGGATTCCGGCGATGCTGATGCGGGGCCTGCCGGGGTCGCCGCGGAGCCGGGCGGGCCCTTCCTGCGGCCGGAACCAAAGCGCATCGGGGCGGCGGCGCGTCGGGGCTGCCGGTGCGGCACCGCTACGCGCTGTGCCGGTGCGGCCGCGGCCCCGCCATGTTGCTGCTGCTGCTGCGGAGAGCCGCCCCCGCCGCCGCTGCTCCCGCCGCTTGCCGCTGGGCCTCCGCATGGCTCCAGGGCGCCGCGCACCGCGGGCTCCCGGCCGCCTGCCGCCGCCGGGCCACCCTGCCCGCCGCCGGGCCCCAGCAGGTTGTGCGTAATGTGGGGACGAGGGGAGGAGCGGGGCCCTGGGGTTTGCGGCTTTGCCCTTACAGAAAGTGCGGGTCTGAGGAGGGAAGCGAGGTGGCAGTCGGGACGTACCTGAGATCAGCCCCTCTGTTTTGCTCTGGTGAGACCCACTTGGAGTGCTGCGTCTAGCTCTGGGATCCCCAACACAGGAAGGACATGGACCTGCTGGAGCCAGTCCTCAGGAGGGCCACCAAGATGATCAGAGGGATGGAGCACCTCTCCTGTTAGGAAAGACTGGGAGAATTGTGTTTGTACAGGATGAAAAAGAGCAGGCTTAGGGGTGCCCTAATTGCGGCCTTCCAGTACCTGAAGGGAGCCTACAGGAAAGATGTAGAGGGACTTTTTACAAGGACATATAGTGACAGGACAAGGGACCATGAGTTCAAACTGAAAGACGAGAGGTTTAGATTAGATATTAGGAGGAAATTCTTTTCTGTGAGGATGGTGAGGCACTGGAACAGGTTACCCAGAGAAGTGGATGCCCCATCCCTGGAGGTGTTCAAGACCGGCTTGAATAGAAGTCTGAGCAACCTGGTCTAGTAGAAGGTGTCCCTGCCCATGGCAGGGGGCTTGGAGCTAGATGATCTTTAGAGTTCCTTCCAACCCAAACCATTCCATGATTCCACGATCAGAGACCTAGTGAGTGTGGGCACCGCGAATATCTTCCTGCAAAGCCATGTGTAAGTTGATTGCAGGCTGAGTTTTTGGCATTGGGGTTGCATACATTTAGAGGTAACTTGGAATATTTACGTGGAAGATTATTGAAACAGTTGGGGTTTGTGGGATGCTTTGTAGTGTAACCTAACTTTAATCCCTAGTCTAAGATGCTGGGAATGGGTTCAGGGCAAGGAGAAACCTTGTGTGTGTGTATATATACACACGTATACAGACATATATATGTGTATATATAGATAGGTAGATATAAAGTGTAGTACTGATGTTGCTTGGCCATGTACTGCTTTCATCTTCCAGGTTACGTCTTTTCAAGGAGTGGCTGTTCGCAGCCTCAGCACATCCTCCCCTCATGAACACCCAGAACACGGAAGATTAGTTTATAAAGGAAATTTGGCAAAGACAGTGTTAGGTATGTGACTTGAAGTGCTATGTATTGCCTTTATTTTGTTTGTTTTGACCACGTTTGGTAACTGCCTGTGAAGTAAGAACTTCATAGTTGTGCATAACAGGTGGTAGTGACTGCATCAGAAATAGAGCCAGCAACCGGCTTTGATAAACCCATCATGAATACTCTGTGAAACGTGAACATATAAACAAATCAGAATGATGACAGTGAGACAGGGCTGAGCTTTCAAGAGTTTCTCTGTGAGCTTAAAAAAAAGGGAAGGGGGTTTTCAGTAACTTCCTCTGTTCAAGTAATGCCATTGTTATATGATAGCAGACCATATGTAATTGTAGAGAAGATAGTCCTCTTAAGTGTTAACCTTTGTTTTCTTTTTGTTCTGTTTTTATGTAGGTGTGAGGTTTTTCTCTTACTCCACCAGCATATTCAACCTGTTCATGATGCCCTACATCATGCTCAAAAGTGGTATTGGAGTGGAAAGTCTGCTTATGCAAGCTGCCTTTTATGGGATGATCGGGTTTTTTACATTTGTAACTCCAGTAACTTTGCATGTCCTTACAAAAGGTTATGTGATCCGACTCTATTACAAAGATGAAAAGGACACCTATACAGCCATTACCTACAATGCCATCTTGGCAGAAAAAGCAACTGTTTTCCATCAGAAAGATGTAAAGATTCCAGACATCACCAAGATGTTTACGACATTTTATGCTAAAACAAAATCAATGCTTGTTAATCCGACACTTTTTCCAAATCCTCAGGACTATAACCATCTCATGGGCTATGACAAATCCCCGCTTTTTAAGTTAGAGGAGTTAAAGGAAGCTGATGAAAGGAAATAATTTGAAGATAATGAATGTCAGTGTCATTGTTCTTAATGCAGTGCTGTGTATGTAAAAGAATGTAAAATTCTATTACACTTTCTTAAGTCAGGTAGCTGGAGTTTTCCAAATGCATTTTGGAATCTATTAAAAAGACCCTTTTTTTTTAATATTATGAACAATGTGACGGTTTCTTCAGAGTTAATGACATAAAATATAGTAAAAAAAGGTGCTTAGGTCTGTCTTGCACTTATTTATTCTTGGCTTGATTTTTATTGTTAGATCTCCAGAGAACTCTAAAATGCATGAGCTGTGTGGCAGTCTCACCAGCTCCGTGTCAAAGGAAACCATTTGTAAGAGAAAAATGATCAATAGTCATTACCTATGAAGTATGTAGTTAATCTCCTAAGCCTTAAGTATTGTACTTAATCCAAAATCATCGGGCTTTTTTGTCAATGCTGTTGCTGGTGTAAAGGGAGTGGAGATGGCTTTTCCTTCCCTTTGTGAGACCGTGGGAGGAGTCTTTGGAAAGCAGACAGGTATTCTTGCTAGTTCCTGCTACAGCCTCCTCCTGGAGGAGAAAAGATAGGGAGAATGGCTGCATCACAGTAATCTCTGGGTACTCACAGCTACTAAATGGTTTCTTAAGGTGGAGTCCCACTCCGAGCAGCCCTGTCCCCAGAGGTGGAGAGCAAGAAGCCTCTCTTTGGTTGGGCTGGGGAAAGCACCTTGGCATCAGGTTTGCTCTGGGAATATCCCATCAAGAACAGGTGCTGTGTTTGAACTGACTCAAAGAAAATTCTGGCAGCTAGTGGTTAAGTTGGATTCTGTCAGCATTTATGTAAGGTGGGGAAGCAAAATAGAGTATCCTATAGAATACTGTTTAGATCTTGTGCCTTTAAAAAACATACCTTTTGATTTTCAGTACTGCAAAGAAAGCCACCTCTAGTTCAACTGAACAGAGGATCAGATCTTTTTGTGTGACTAGACTGGTTCTGCATGCCTGAGATGCAGAAGCTGGATTTAAATATTTTAGCCCAAGGCACATAAACTGACAGATACTTGTTTTCAAATAATGAAGGGCCTAAATATTTTGAGACTTAAAAATTACTGAATAAAAAAACCCCTAACAATTCAAATTAATCCTTTTGTGTTAGCAGTGCCTTTTGTAATAAGTAAATCTGATGTTTGCTACTAATTAAGGTATCCTGGTACTGCAAACAAAGAGAAAGATATTATAGTTACCATTCAAGATGTTCCCTAAGTTCTAGCTGAAAATTTATATTTAAAAGTCTAAATGTCTTCCAATGCTATTATTTCAATTTCACATTGTAGGATGACATTAAACCACTGGTTTTGAATGCTGTTTTTCTGACTTGAAATTGCCCTCAACGTACTCGCTGAGTGATAAAAAAGCAAATCATCTCATCCCAATATTTTTGAGGTAGTTCTTTGTGTTGACACAGCTATAATTGTAAAAGCCTGATTGAGCCCCATTAAGCCAGTATCACTTCACGAGTAGCAATAATATAAAAATCAGATTTTCATAAATTACATGGAACCTGGGAGGTCAGTAACAAGCAATTCTGATCACCTGATTGTACTACTTATGGAAATGATGCTTTGCATCTAATTAAAAGTACTCTTTCCATGTCTGATGCATTCACTCGCTTCTTTTGGTGCTTGCATTGAAAGATGAAGTCAACTTCATCTTTTAGTGCCAAATACAGGGAGAACAGGAAACAGCGTTTGCAGAAGAAGGTAAAAGAAAGGCCCCAAAATTGTATTTATGTGCCCCTTAGGTAATATCTTCTGACTGAAGAAAGTTTTAATTGTTAAATTTGCGATTTGTCCAATTCAGATTTAAGCAGCAATAGTAAGATATCTCCATTCCACTGGCTAAGTTTCTCAAAAAAGTATGGAAGATAAATATTATTTCTTCTGCTTGTGTTCTGGCAGTGAAATGCAAGTTAAGCTAGTAGGTGGCTTTCTGACACACAGATGATTAAAATAATATTAAAAAGTCCAGAATTCTGCCAGAAGATAAATTATACAGTCTCAGAAAAATACTTCATACTTCCTAAGTGCAACTTGAAAATAATAGAATAGTACTTTTACGTTAAGAAAAGAGAAGACCAAGCTTACTGAAGATACACAATATTCTATCTGCTTCTACCTTGTTTGCTGCTACACTTAGGGTGTGTACTCAGAATCATTTATGTTGGAAAAGACCTTTAAAATCATCAACTCCAACTATTAACCCAGCGCAGCCAATTCCACCACTAAACCATGTCCCTCAGTCCCACAACTACATGGCTTAATACCTCCAGGGATGGTGACTCAACCTTGTCCAATGCTTGACAACCCTTTCAGTGCAGAAAGTTTTCATATTGCCTAATCTAAACCTGCCCTGCTGCACCTTCAGGTTGTTTCCCCTTGTCCTGACACTTACGACTTGGGAGAAGGGACCAATCTTCACCTGCCTGCAACCTCATCTCAGGCAGTTGTAGAGGGCTATAAGGTCCCCCCTGAGCCTCCTTTTCTCCAGACTTAACAATCCCAGCTCCCTCAGCCTCCACCGGTGCTCCAGACTGTTCACCAGCTTTTTGCCCTTTGTTGTGGAAGTATTACTGTCTACTAGCATTTTCATCCCTGGAAGTCACTGATATTTCTTTGGGTGTAGGTAACTTGTGTACAATATGGAAGAAACAGTTTATAAGATCTAGAGAATGTGCTCATCATGGAGATATTGAAGGAAATACTGATGGAAGCCCAGTTTTCTGAAATACCTGATTTACAAACTGTCTTATTGGCAAGACAACACCTATGAGGAAGGCTGTGAGCTCCTGCAGCCTTTCCAGGACCAACCAATTACTTGTCTATAGCAGCTGAGTCTTGCATCTTGCCCTGGTACCAGTTTCACTTAATCTGGTGTAAAGAGCAAGAACGTGTGAAATAACTCAAGCCTCTTTCCTAGACACGTTTCCTATTGCCTTCCAGCCTTAAAATCTTCCACAAAAGTGGAATCATGACTGATTTTTTTTTTCCCCTGGGAAAACAGTCACGATATATGCAAATTTTTCTTTTCAGTCTTTGACTACATGCTATTTTCTTGCTGCTAGCCCTCTCCCTTTTTCTTAAGTTTTTGGGTTTGTCCACATTATTATTCATTAGTCCCTATCTGTTCTTAATTATGAAGTACAAAGCTTCTTGTCATTCTTTAAAGTTATTTTTTAAATTGAATTATCCCACAACCCTCATCCTTTTCTTGCAAATGTAAAAAATTTTGATGAGAAAATTATCCCTTTTTGATCCTTCAAAGAGAAATCTTTAAAGCTCTGAGGTACTTCACACTCCTAATCACACTCTGAAAAATTAAAAGGTAACTAATGTGACTGGAGCTCACTTTATTACAAACCACAGTCATCACATTGGCAAAGATGAGGAAAAAAATCAGGAGATTTTCACATGGCACCGTGAGGGCCTAATTTAGGTGATGGAAACTTCGTGAAAATCTCTTTGTGCTGTTAAAATTAAGAGCAGACGTGAATTATTACAATTGCTCAGTATAACTTAATAGATGGAAACTTGGTAAGCTGCTGTAATTTGGTTGCTCTGAAGTTCTGTGGCCATACCACAAATTTCTTCATGCTTCATACCATGGATTTCTTCATGCCCCCAAGTACAGCACAGCTTGCTGCAGCCCGCCTGAGAACTGGGACAAGTGTGCTAGCTAGGAGTTGGATCCACTATAATAAGATTATCCCAGAGCTATACAGACCTCAGCAAGCGGCTATTTTAAGCAGGGAATAACAGAGAACAAGAGCAAACAGCCGCAAAATATGTCCAGCTGTCTCCATTTCTGGAATTCCAGGGTGGACAGTGTTGCTGTGGTGTGCTTACTGTCAGCCTCAGGTAGGACACATCCCTTTCTTCTCCCTCCACCCTCTGCTTTCTCTTCTTTTTGACAACTTTAATAGTTTAATGAATATTTTAGAGTATAAGCTTTAATCGTAAACTTGGCTTGGAAAACACAAACCATAAGCCTACTGGCAAGAAGCAGTGAGTTATTTCCAACATAATTGTTTCCACAGGATACCACCTGGTATGTATTTGCTCCACTTTAATAGTCTCCAGTGGTTTAATGTGATATATTCAAATCAAACCACTAAGCCAAAGTGCATACAACACTTAAAAAAATATATTCAGAATAATGCACAGCACTTTTTCTATCTTTCAACAACTACTTGATTTCTTATTCAAGTGCTACCAACTCACCACTGGATATGTGCTAGTGCACTGCTCTTGGAGCGGACTCTCCTGGCTCTCTCAAGCACTTCATCAGCTGCATGTAGAGGAGATGAAACCTCTACCCCTTTCTTTTATCCTTGGGCATGACTTTCTCCTTCCACTATAGGCATTGTCAAAGATGGGTTGAGAGGATTTGAGAAGAGAGTGTACAGTTTTCTATTCTTCATGTTGATAGTTGAGTGTGGTTTTGTTCTGTGAATGCATGCCTTATGCCTTATGTTGGAGTGCCTTCAGCATCAACCTAAAGCCAGAATCAGAATAAACATGTCTGCTTCCAGATGCAAAAAGATCTTCTTCAAAAACTTTCACAAATGGTCCTGCAAGGAAAACTAAGTTATTATTGCATCTTTCTTTATTGAATAAATGTGGTTAACATCTTAAAAGAGTTTTCCATTAAAGTGACATTTTGTGACAAACCAAGAACTAGGACATAATCTTTAAGTCTGTCTGACTAACACTCGGAGATGGAGTACTTTCCTCTGCTGTACTGGTGCACTGTTATTTATTTTTCTGTGATGGGATATTATGATCATATATATTATAAATCTTTCCTGAGGGAGATTTCAGTGACTTATAAGAGTTTATCTGGTCAAACTACTCATCTGCAGTCAACAATACAAATATGAAGTGATTATTTTGAAAAGCAATAACAAGTAAGTTAAGTACTTTTTAAATGTATCGAGAAAGAATATAAAAGTATCGTGAATTAGTTTAAGGATTTTAACCAAAAATCAGTGAGAAGGCTTGGAATAAACTTCTACTTTCAGCATCTCAGATGTAGAGAAATTAAAAGTCATTGTTATAAAGTCCTAAATTCTCTAGACTTGGATTTATTTTATGTACTGTTGATTGGATATCAGAGTTGGTCCCTACTGAATATTCTTGCAAAGGATTTCAAAATAACTGAAATAAATTGTCACAAAATTTTAGTGAAGTAACATTATTGTGTAGCTCTTTCCACTTCCCTTTCTCTCCTTTTCACCTTCCTTTTGGATCAGTGTATGTAAGAAAAAGATTACAGTATAGAAAGAGGTTTTAGTAAAATTAAAATATGTAGAACTTTATATCCTTCTCATGTAACCTTCATATTGACTTGAAAGGGACAGAACAGACTCTTCACACCACAGTGCACTAGTTTGGAGCTTTAGTGAGCATCACAAGAGGTCACTTCTACGAATAGCATGAAAAGCCACAAGCATCTAAAACTGAATTTGGTGAAAAGATTTAAAAATTATTTAAGTTATTTTGATTTAATGACAATTTGACCAGACACAATGGTCAAGGTTTTTGGCTTTATAATCATGATCATCAGTGATATTTAGCACTGATACCAGTAGCAATTATTGCTCCTGTCTTCCCATTTGGACAACCAGATCCTTTTAAAATGTAGCTTCCTTAGCTGATTTTTTTAAGCATTGTAATAGTCTTGACTTGTACAATAAAAGTGCAATAAGGAAGGAACAGAAGAGGGTACAGAGGTTTCCCCATGTGTCTGTCTATCCGAACCACCAGGGGGGACTAATTCCTCATCTATATCTTTACTGCAGCAAGTGTCTGAAAAAAACACCTATGCTTGAACCAGGTCTAGAAAGTCACTGAGTTCAGCAGAGAGGTTGTCTTCGTTTATATTAAGAGAGCTTTTATCTAAAATCTTGTAAATTTGCAGTACTCTTTCCAGTCTGTACAGCAATGCCAGCACAAGTCTGGCCACAGAGGGACACGTGTTCAGCTGCGTAATCGTATCTATTGGTAGGGTACGGTCAGTGCCATCTCATGACTTTTCCAGACTGGCCTGTGACTTGTGCTAAATCTATTGGACTGACAGAAGACTCAGCAGAGAGCCTGGCTTGGCTTCTTACTGCTTAAACTCACTCCATACCAGTGACCATGGCTTTGTGATTGAAAGGAATATTTTTTTGACTGTACGTGCACAAGGCGTCTCTTCTTTAGTGGCTGCTTAATCACTCCTTTGTGGCTGTCTCACTACTCCATTTCTTTTTTCCAACTATTACAGCCTTCCTGATTTATTTCAACTTCACTGCATATTTTACTATTTTTAAGCAAGATTTGACCGTCTTGAAAAAAAAACTGTGTTATTGCTATGATCACAAAGGGTTAATATGTTTTATAGTATCCTGTTAAACAACAACAAAAATCTGCGTGTGAAGTATGTACTCTGGAGATCTGTCAGGAAAGTTGTATAATTTTGAATTTCTACTTAAAAGTCGAATGCTAGAAGTTCCTTTTAATTTTGAACTCTGTCAGGCTATTGGGATTCTTCTTGTGGTCTGTAGAAAGATTTGGAAATACTGAGGAGATTTCTCTAGCCACATTAATTTTTCAATTTTTTATTTTGTGAATTATTACATGTATGAACTCATTAGTTGGTGCTTTCAGGCACTTGTAATTGAATTCTCACCTTCCTTAACTAGTCTGGGAACTCTGCCCATCTTCTGGGCGCAATCAGTCATAGTTTTGTGCGTGTCATTATTCTGAAATTATCTTTTGTGTTCCATGCTCAGACTTCTGAAAACCAATTTCCTAATATTTTACTATTTTACGGTTTTAATATGTAAAGTATTACTCTGGTATACACAGAATTTGTGAGAATAAAAGCTTTTAGACGCTGTGATGGGAAGTGGGAAGAGTCAGAACAATTGATTAAGTTATATTTGTTGTAATTTTTATTGAGTTTCCTGCTTAACACAAACTCAAATACCTGTGTATTTTATATACTGCTTCTTTTTTAAAAAAAAAACCCTAGACAATTCCTGATCTAAGAGGAGCCTGCAGATATACATACAAATCAAAAAGGTAGCTTGTCAGAAATAATTTAATTTCTGTAAGTCATTCTCCCATAAATTCGGTAGGTTTCTATATTTTATTATAGTGAGAAAGAAAATTTAATTGTTTCCTGTCAGTTAGATGGTGATTGTGCTCTCTTGATGAGGTATTAGCCTTTATTTGATCTGTTTCTGTAGCTGGGACTAGCAGTGTTGCCAGGTTTGTGCAGTAAGTGCTGACCCAGTTTGGACAACATAATTGATATAACAGATACAGGCAAAATATGTTATTCTTTGTGTAATGCACTAACAGACAGAAATAAGGGGATGTATCTAAACTGCTTTAAGACTTTTTGTTTCGGTGTCTCAAACTTGAGTATCAAAATCTGCAACCTGGAACGTTTTCAGCATCCCAGGATAAAATCAGGTTGTAACCTATCTTCAGTTGTGACAGGTAGATTTTCTGTTCTTATTTGAAACATCCCAATCCAAATTTGACTGCTTTTGTTAGTAATTGACTAATATTCGGGGTCCACCTTGACCCAGCCTTTGCATGGCTCTGTGCTGTTGGGCAAACCATACAGTGCTGCTTCTCCAACAGAGACTGTGGGGAAGTCTGGGAATTGTGGGAATTATCAGTTGTAATTTTATGGATTTTTAAGTTTTCTCTCCCTAAGAAAAATAACTGTGATAGATACAGCTTTGAAGGTGGTAGCTGGCATCATGCAGGACATCAATGGTTCTACTCAATAACATGTCAGATGGTTGTGTTCAGCTCCTTTTGGAAATATATCATCTAATTACAAATTTCTAGTGTGTTCTTAAAGCACAGTGAGCTTTGTGAGAAATTATTATGAAAGCTTGTGAGAGTTACTGACTACATATTGGTAAAAGAGTGGTCTTGGTTTTCATCAATTTTTCTTTTCTTTAATAGGTACAGGAAACTCTGTGTTTGAATTTATGCCTTTAAAAATGTTACACCTGATGACTCAACTATACTTGCCTTTTACATACTTCTGGTAATCGTGTTTTTATTTCCGTTCCCCTTTTCACACAATTTTCTCTTTCACTTTTCACCCGTGGCTTGAGCTACGTTGTCTGGGGAAAATATAGCAACAAAAGCAGAAATTCTTTTTCTTCATAAAATTTATTGTGATGATAACTGATGGTACTGCAGTAGGATTAATTAAGATTGCAGAGAATTTGAAAAAATATCTGAACTTTCCCTGAAGACATGTGACTGAGGATGACTGTGCTGAATTTTGTTCCTCTTTCCTCAAAACAGAGTTTTATTCTGTTAGATACTGAGCAAAAAAAAGTGATTATGTTTGGACTTATTTTTTTCACTTTATTCACCTCTGGAGTTGGTGAATTTCTTTGTATGTCATCAGATCTTGAAATGTCGTATACTTTTTGTGGTAAGTAAAATATAGCTAATTCTTTTTCTAAGTTTGCATGATAATTACTGTAGACTGAGGAAATGCAAATTTTCTTTCAAATTTCTTTCTTTGATGAATACAGAAAAATACAAAAAAGTTCAGCTGAAGTCTATTTCTGTTATTAATTACCATATAACAGGAATTATACTTCATAGGCATAAATATTACCACAATGCTGGTTCTAGCAGCTAAGACAGAGAATTTTATCCTCAAGTAAAGCAGGCATGTTTTGGTTCAGGAAATATTAGAAGATAATGAATTTAAACTTATTTTGCAATTACTCTATTGTATAAATTATGCAAATTGAGTTAACAAATATATTACAATTAAAAGGTTGAAGTATATGTAAAAGAGGAGGGAATGTGATATTCTGCTTTTCTGGGGTATCAGGTTTTGGGACAGCATAGTGTGTACATTCTTGCCATGTCTGTGTCATGGGCTGATATTTTGCATATTCTAAAAATGCTAGGTGGTCACTCATAGAGCAAATATACTCAAAGGTTCATTTACCTTATCCTAGGAAATATGCTGGTACATTAAAAACATTTTTAGCTGTTGTCAGCAGGTTTATATAGGTTCCATGGTTAGCATAAGTTGGGATATTTTCAGCAGAGGACCATGCTGGTTTAATGCTACTGAAGATTTTGTGTATCATCAAAAGACAAATAAAGGCATTTTTGCCTGGGTTTTGTGTGCAAAATATCATCAACCAAAAAAATTGAGTTTTCTTGTTACTTAAAGAGATATTATTTTGGTTTTGCCCTCTAAGCATATAAATAATTAATAATAACATTTAAAGTACATGTTTAGTATTTACTACAAATATTAGACAATTTTATATATTGTCTAATATTTTTAATATTATCTAAGACATATATATTGTATATACCTTATATTAAATGCATTTTAAAATGTGTGTTTGTTGTGAGTGGGTAAATACATATATTTTTATTATTTTCATGGAGAAGCCTATTCACACTATCAATCTGAAATATCGTTTTCCTATAGATTCTACAGCTCATGCTTTCGTGTTTAATATGACACCTTGCAGCGTCATGAAAACAAACATCTGGAAGGCTACTCTTAACTGGATTCCAAGTGAGTCTCTCTTAACTAGACAATTATAATCTGGAAATGCAGAAAACCAAGTACAAGTGGAAAGCTGGCACTTCATCCAAAATGCCAGATGATTTAGGAAATCAGTTTCTGTGACTGAAAATGGAATGGATAAACCTGGATAATGATGGACAGAAATTATGATCTATGAAAATAAGTGTATTTGGGTTTTACTTGTTGGAGCAGTTACTAGAGCCCTGCCTGGAGTCTGGCACTGTATGTGCAAATCTGAGATGGTTTAGGTGTATGTGCATTTGTCCGGGAGAAGCAGAGGTTTGCCGCACACAAGCTCTTCTGGCCTGAAGAAGTCCCAAGTCTTTTTAAGGAGAGAGAGTATCATTAGGCCATCCAAGTATGGCAGAACTTCTGTGAAGAATATGTGTGTTCCAGAGGCTGGAAATGGTACTAGATTTGTGTTTGAACCCAGCTGTAATCTTTAAACCCGGCTTTAAGCTGGCAAGCTGAGTTAATGAAATGTTTATGAAATGATTGTATCAAAAACTTCACCTTCTGAATATAAACTCTGGAGGTGGACTAGGTTTTCTTCCCTAGAAAGATACCTTTATGATGGCTATCAGCATTCAGGACATGCAACATGTGCCTAAAAGTAAAGCCTTCATCTGAGCATGTGTTTAAGTTAGCTGTGCTGTTATCTTTGCTGAAGAAATTAAAACAGATTTTGAAATTAGTTACTCAAATATTTTTTAGATTTTTTTTTTTTAGAATATTATCTCTTTTTTTTTTTTCTCCTGAATGTAACAGTTTTCAAGATACATATTTTTGCCAGTTTTGGGGGGAATCTTTAAAAAATATTGTATTTCAGAGAAAACTATTTTTTATCTAAGTGGCATGTCTGCATATGTGTTTTTTCTCCCTGCTAGATATCATGTCCTTACTTGCAATGTTTTAATTAGGAAGTGACATCACCTTTTTGAAGATTGTCTTCCATGTCTGGCACGATGGTGACAGAGCGTTTCACTGGAAGCATCTCCTGTGCAGTGGAGCTGACGATGAATACTCATTGTGTGAAACGCTGAAAGGAGGTCGGTGTGCCATCAATCCATGCAAACAGATTTTTCTCTCCACAATCTAGGCCTTGCTTGGCAGGCAGCAGACTTCAGAGCAGCCAGTTCTCCAGTGCCAAAACCCCGTTAAAAGAGAGAATGTCCAAAGTCTATGTTTTAACATCCTTGTACTGCAGTTTCCATCTCCATAAATGATAATTACTAATATCCTTCATCTCTGTATGACACTTATTATTAACATTTATAAAATGACATGAAAAGACAACATTTGACTGGACTGTACAGAAAACTTGAGAGGGACTACTGGCACTACTAATATCCAGAACACAGTTTATTTAGTGTTTTTTAAGAAATTCTCTCCACCGAGGTATAATGCTTTTTTTAATAGAGAAGAGTCAATCCTCTGGTAGGGGCTACCCAGCATAAATGTGACACAGGCTCAAATCCAGAGAATTCAGGCAGGATGTCAGACTTAAGGCCAAAAAGGACCTGTGAGGAGGTGAAAATACACAGTCTATGTTTTTCTTTCTTTAAAAATCTATATCAGTTCTCTTCGGAGTTAAAACAGTAAGATGTGTTTGGAGGAGATGTTGGAGGAGCACTGTGGTTAATTTCTATTTTCTAACGTTATTTTGACAAATAGTCAGAACTCTGAGAGAAGAACCAGGTGAGTGCTTTGTCAGTGGAAGAGTAAATGACATTGGCAACTGCTGCTGAGAGATATACCATATTGCTTTGAAGTTATTTAGGCAGTCTGATTTATGACTTTATGGTTAAGTAACCATTTGTATTATAATTATCTCTGTTTTACAGAAACACTTGTAGAAGAATTTGACATTAAAGGTTTAAGAATACAATTTCTAAAGGTACTTTCTGACATTTTATATAAAGAAATAATAATAGTAAAATTACATACTTACAGGTGTATATTTTCTGAAAAGACACATTCACCCAAACTGTAGAAAACAGAAGAGGGAATGTCAGAACACTTTCTCATGTTTGAAGTGATGAGTCTAAAATGGTAGCATCCTTGAAATGCTGGATGTCCTCAGGTTATTATTTCTCTATTATTCCTCCCTTATTTTATAGAAGAAAAGACCAAAGAAATCAGTTAATGTCACCTTAGAAATCAGTTAATGTCACCTTAATAATTCCATTTTAATTGGTAAATTGTTTTCCCTTTACCTGTTTGAGTAAATCCATTCATATTTTTTCTGCCCATTTTGTTCTTTATTTTACATTCTCTTCACATGCTGGTCTGTTGCTCCCTCAAACCATTTTTGAAGATTTGAAAAGGGATAACAATATCCAAAAGTAAAAGCAGTACTCCAGTGTTAAACCAAGAGCAGCATCAGTCATCAGGTTGACCCAGTCTCTTACAACACCTGCCCCATCAGCTGCCTGAGCCTTTCCAAACCCTTATCGTCCCTATTAATCCCTACAAATGTCGCTAAGGAGCTCCTACTGATACAAAATCTCCAACCTCCCCTTATCCCAAAGCCCATGGGCCTCTAACAGTGTTGGACTCCATCCAGCCCAACACCTCTTGTAACCCCAGAGCTGGTAGTGGAGAGGAACATCCCCTGCCATGAGCAGTCCTCCAAAAGATGAAGTGCTTATGGCAGACTTGACACTTCCCCATAGGACTCTGCTAGACCAGAGACTGCTGCTCCTCTGTACTCTGGTCATAAGAAAGTTGAGAACTATTTTTTTATGTATACTCATACATCTGACTATACTCATGAGAACAGTCCATGATGGGAATGTCTTCTTCAGTCCTAACAGAAATCATTAGAACCATTCCAAGAAGCTACTTAGACAAGAGTGGGCAACACTATGCACTAATTTTCTTGTTTTTTTCTTGCTTGATTTAGGGCAATTATAATATTATTATACAAGGATTCTCTGATGATTCTGAGAATAATATGGTCATATGCTTGAATTTCACCATGATAGTAAAACAAGATGTTTACTGAGTGCGACAAACTTTTCAAGTAATTCAAGAACACTGAGGTAACTTCTGCAAGCAACTGGAATCCAAGCTGCAAAGTAATAAGCAAACTAAATTTCCTGAGGTAGAATACATCTTGTGCTGTCTGGAAAGCTATATGATATATAATCTTACTCGTTTATCAGATCGTTTATTTACTGTAATCAGATGCTCAGCCAACGTGCACAAAATCTCCGGGTATCAGGCATTCTGATTAATCACAGAATAACCCTGACTGGATGGCAGGCTGAGGACTGCATTTTGGTGCTGTGCCTTGAGTTATGATAAAGTCAAGTTCTTCAGACTGAGCTAAACTAATCACGAAGTTTGGAAGTTTTGAAGTGCAAGAATCAGAAGTTTATCAGTACTCAATTTAAAACATAGCAATTGAATTTTGGAACCCTGCCATAAGTTGTTGGGTTTTTTCCTTTGAACAATAAAACTTTTTTGTACAATCAATTTGAGAAATGTTTTTTATTCTCCTGTTTTCTGATTAACTTTGGATGTTTCCTAATGTTCTGCTCTTTTTATACCAAGCTAAAACAGAGGAGTAACATTTTGTTATGTGGTTCTAGCTGATGTGAATAACATCCAAAGTGGAATGTTTCCAGTTGCACTGATACACTACAGCTGAGTTTAGCCATCCAGAGCCCTGAACTGCAACCTCATGGAATGTTTTTAGCTCTTGCTCAGAGTCCAAGGGGCAGAGGCTACATAAGCTGTTTCCTTCAGATGCAGGAGGATGGTGTCACCCAACAGGTTGATCTGTTCCTCATTTATTCCTCAAAAGCATGTCTAAAGCTTTTGCTGTGGCTTTTGCCCCTTGGGAAGCCCAACACTGAATATCCACCTGCCCTCTCTGCTGCACGTCCACACCCTAGACCTTGGGTAAGACTTTGGTGGAGTGTGAGATTTGGTTCTCAGGAAGAATACTGTCCTCTTCATCCTCAGCCCCCAGCCAGTGGTTGCTTAGTAGGTTCAGAGACTTTTCCCCAACTAATAGGACATTGTTGAAGTTACACTTCATGCTGGCTGCTAGTTCATGCTGTGTGTAGCAGATTGCTTCCAAGTACCTTTAAAAAATTAAAAACCAGAACAAACCAACACTCGTTCAGTCCACTAAATATCAAGCATAAAAATTAGCAGAAGTGAAGCTTTTAATCTCACTTTACACATAAGGAAAGATGTTTTTCAAATTTGGTATGAGAAAACTCAACAAAAACCCCCCACATCCAAGTATGCAGATACTCCATTTAAAACTTGGTTTTAGTATAGCTAGTTTGGCTAAATAAAGCATAATCATCAAGATTCTATAAAAATAGAAGTAGACTTTCATCTTGACTGGAGACAAGAAGCTGTGATTACATCCAAGTGGTGATGGCAAAGCATCTGTTCTTGCCTTCAGTCCACAGACCATTGCAGGAGTAGTCCATGATGGAGTGCCATAGCAGCTTCTGCTTACATTTGAGCTAATTTACTAGAGTTGTGATAAATTTTTTCTTAATCTGAAATATCAATCAAAAAGCAACCAGAGAACATGATAAGCAATACCTACTTTTCTTCTTTTAGAAATAGTATTACTGGTTAGGAAACAATCTTACCTCATGATGTCCCTTTGTACACATCTCACATCATTCAGCGACTACCGGGTGAAGTCTCAAAACCATTTTTAATGACAAAGTAATCGGAAATTTTTGCTGGCCTGAATTATTCAGGATATAAGAAGAAATGTTTTGTTTATTAAGTAGCAAAGTACCACAGGTGGGAGAGACTAACAGCTCCTGAAGATCAAACACATCACATACTCTTATGGATGTTACAGAAAATTTACAGTATATGTAAAAGTATAAATAGAACTTCTGTCTCTAAATAGAGACATTTACAGATAAACATTAAGCATTCAGTATCTTTCATAGCAGACTTTTATAGTGTAGATCTTCAGCTGAAGGATTATGATTGCACATGCCAGCAGATAGGATTGCAAGGCAAAGCACAGGAGCCACACTTTATAAAGCAAAGACCTTTCAAAAGCAGGACTTTTTCCATCCTGCATATGGCAAATCTATTGCCACACAAAAGTCCCAAGGTTTCTCCTGTGTACAATCAAAGTATCCACTTATTGCAGCGCTGGTGGCTGCTGCACCACATTCCTCCGGGGATAAGAGGAGGCAGATTTTGGAAGACATGAGATCACCCAAACAGCTTACCCTAAAATCGCCGTGATATTGTAAGGGTGAAGGGCAGAGCTGAAGGCAGAACTTTTCTCTGCACGTCAGGTTCCCAGGACAGAGCTGAGAGAAGGCTTTCCTTCCTCCCTTCTGCTGTTGTCCAGAGTTGACAAGATTATCACTTTATGTTCCTCTCCAAACTTTCCTGAGCCCATATTCAGGGCTCTACAGCAGAGAGGACTCTATTTAGGATGAGGTGAATTACTCAGACCCTGTAAAGACTAATCTGAATGTTTCCCTTTTTTTCACTTTATTGGCTAGTAAACTTTGATTAATTTTTTTCTTCTTCTTTTTCTGCCTCTGTCCAGAGTTGGAATGATGTGAATGCTGTGAAGTAAAACATTGAGTATTTCTTTCTTGAAATATTCAGTGAGACCTACGTGCCTCGAGATTTCTGTGTTTTGCCAGGAGTTCCAGGGAGCAGTGCAAAGACCCTCCCGTGCAAACTGAAGTAAATCAAAGAAGGCCTTATATTTGACATACTTGTCTGAAAATAATGTCTAAAGCTTTCGCAAATATCTCTTTTTTGTCTCCCTCATTACTGTTGTTTTTAAGCAGCTGTCAGGATTTGCTGCAGATGGGAAAATAGCTTTTCTTCACCCCCTCACCCTCTGTCGCCAAATATGTAATTATCAGAAGAAGCAGTTCCTGTACAATGTGGTTTCCAATAAGAATGCACACTTTTTGAGCTGTTATTACAGTTTCATTTGATAAAAGCAGTAAAGCATACATAATTTCAGATCAGAGAAGTCCTGCTGACCACAATAATGTGTACATTTGATGGTTGAAATTGTAACATCATTTGAGATTGACACAGAAAGAAAATTCCATGTAATTCAGGTATTACAACAGCATATCTTGTGTTCAGGAATGTACTGGAAGGCATAAGCAATCCTTCAGTCACCAGTCAGCTTGGCTAGCAAAAAGCACACACACTCATACAAATAAACTACGTGGTGCCTGCAGCAAGAAGAAGTTGGACTTGATGATGCAGGACGTGTGTCCTGATCTGCATTACAGGCATCAAAAGAGAAACATAGCAGCATTAATCCCTTTTGCATGATTTTGTTATTGGGCAAAAATGCTAGCAATTGCCTTGGAAGGGTCTATGTAACACATTATGCTGAATGACTTCAGCTGCTTCATTCTGCCTGCATGTCCTTGCCAGCACAAGTGAGTTCAGGGGCAGCAGATGGGGTAGTGACATTTCTAATGGAAGAGATAGAGATGGAGGGAAGGAAGGGAGGGGGATTCCTGCCTGCAGAGCTTAGGGGAGAGAGGAGAGGAAAAAGGAAATTTGGAAAGTCTTATTGCTGGCAATAGAAACTACTGGACTTTGGAAATCCCGGATAATAGTGTGCACATGTACTTGTCTTGTGGATCCCAGGCATCCTTGTAGATTCCTTGGTGCATGGCTGCTGTAGACGTGTATGTTCATAACCTCTTTTCTTCAAGATGTATTTTACTACTGGCAAAGAGAGAACTTTTATATAGGTATATAAAATATATATATTTAATGTATATACATATATATATACGTGCATACATGTATTTGGCCAGGTAGTTTATACAACTTCCCAAACTTTCTGTCTGGAAAAAAAACCAAAACAACAAACCCACAATTTTTTTTCTTTGGGCTTTAGCCTAAACATCTACCTTAGCTACGAGTGTTGTGGTTTTAAATTTAAATTTCTTGCTTGCTAACATAAGTTCTTATGACCATAACTAAGGAAGCAAAACTTTTAATAGCAAGCTTGGCTCTTTGCTCACAGTAGGGAACGGTCACTCATTCTATGTATTAAGGTTCCTGTCCCCCCATTTCCCTGTGCTGCACAAAACCTTTGAGTACTACAGAGTAGCTGATATTTTTTTCTTAACCTTTGACTTCTGCTAACTAAGTACATCCACTGTGTGTTTTGTTCTCTGAGAGGTTTGGCATCTCTCCTGAAGAAGTACCTCCATACTGATTATGAAGTTGGTTTAGTTCTTATATACATTCTGTTCAGCCAATTTCATTTAGATTTTTCACTGTATTACCCATAATTTTTGTATTTTTAATATAGCAATGTAGTTTAACAATTTCAGTAATGTAAATTAAGATAAAAACCAACAATCACACAAGCCCTACAATAAGTAAAGATAAATACAGAAAAGCAAAATTTTAGCATTAGTCCTCTGAAAGCAATAGAATTAAAAAGTCTGCCCTTCACTTATGAGATGCATAAAGGGAAAAATAATAGAACAAAACATAGTGCATATGTTGTTCACTTTGACTTTGAATTAATTTGACCCTATTTTAGAATGATGTGGCTTTATTTCACATCTGAAAATCAGCTGAACAGACTGGTATTTATCTTTTCTAATCATATATCACATTGAAGCAATCTGCTCCATGTCGGTGCATATTGCATGGAGTGGAATTTTCCTTATATCTTTAAAGTAGTAAAGATGCTTAAAATCACAGACATAACGTAGATAGAATAAGGAACACCATTAATGAAAGTTTCACGGATGACTGCCAGCAAATAGACCGTCAGCAGCAGTATTCCTTTCTGATTCCCTAAGCTACCTTCCAGTGACTCTGACTGCTAGTTATACAGCTTCTCCAATCTGTAAAAGCTTTGATGATTTTAATATTCTAATAAAGGAGGAAAGGGTATCCTAAACAAAATTTAAAGTAATAGCTTATCTAGAAAAATCCAAAATATTAAAATGAAGAAACAGTATTGTCAGATGAGTAATAAGGACAAAAAAAGTGGTTGTGGGAAATAAATAATTTTGATAGCTGCAGAGTGTTGTGTATTTGTTTTGACTAAATAACTAAAAAATAGTAGACTTGAATTCATTTAAATTTGAGACACTTCAGCAAATAAGAAATATTTTTCTGCTTTTTTGTTTTTGACAAATAGGCATTTTTCAAGCAAAGACCATTGTGTCACAAAATCACTGTGATTTTGCTGATAAGCCAGGAGTCAAGCTCTGGTAGTTGTACTCATATTAGTATCTACTTGACTATCTGAATTGTCCTTTTGGATAGAGATGCACAGCCCAGTTCTAAATGACTTAAATGCCTTTTTCTGGAATTGATATGTAAAGGGTAACATTACAACTTTGCAAACAGTACAACAGGAAGCAAGTTGTTGGGAGGAGCAGATCAAACCACATGTTGTAACTTTGTAAATTACAATTTTCTTTTGGTACTTCTGGTTTTATAAAAGGTAAATGCTATAA